CTCCTGCCTCAGCCTCCCGAGTAGCTGGGACTACAGGTGTGTGTCACCATGCCCGGCTAACTTTTTCTATGTTTAGTAGAGACAGGGTTTTCACTGTGTTACAGCGAGATGGTCTCTATCTCCTGACCTCATGATGCGCCCACCTCGGCCTCCCAAAGTGCTGGGATTACCGGTGTGAGCCACCGCACCTGTCCGCCCAGGTACTTCTTAAAGCAGCCAGACGGAACACTCAAGCGGCCAGTGGCTGGCTCAGGACACGAGCTCCAGCTGTCACAGGGGGCACCTGTGGAGTCTGACTGGCCCTCAGAAACCCAAATCAGTACTCAGCCACTCACCACGTAATAAACTCTGATCCAAAAACCAGAAACCGTCCGAACCCAAGCCTGGCCGGCACGGCCACTCAACACCCGCACTGTCCGCCTCGGCAGCTGAGATGGGCAGCGCCCTGGGGAAGGCCACACACTCCGATCCCCCACCACCCTGCAGTCGATCAGAACGTTCCTCCCAGAACTGGCATACAAGGGCCCCGGCAGTTAGAGAGGCAGGCCCAGCAGAGCAAGGGGCCCCGGGCAAGCTGAAGAGGGGGCTGAGTCACAGCCTGCCGACTGGGCAGCGGGAATCCCTGCGGTTCCGCCCAGCCCGAACCCCTGCCCAGGGGGAGGCCAGGAATCTTTTCTGGGTAAACAGCACCAGAAGAATTCTCAAATACTGGCATTCAGGGCCCCCACACCTCAAAGAAAAGCCCCACTCCTCGCCGGGCCACTGGGCAGGAGGCCTCCCTGGATGAGGAGCGGAGCTCACACAGGGCTGCCGGCCGCTTTGTTCTTAAAGAGAAACACACGCCTCTGAGAACAAAGAGACTTGATGGGAACCCCAACGTGAGATCGCTGCCACCCTGCTCCGTCCTCGGGGAAGTTGACGCACCGGAAAACCAGAACAGGGCCCTGAATGATAACAACCTGAATTCAAACAAAAAGCAGCCCTTGAAAAATACAGACAGGACAATCTATCAATGTTCCTGGAGCTCTAAAAGAAAACAAAAAAGAGAAAAAGAATAAAGAAACACACAGATGGGACAAGCTAAACAAAAAATTCCATATAAAATGCAGACGGGATGATCCAAACAAAAAATCCCGTCGCGGAGTCTGAAGCTGAGCCAGACACAGCTTTCATAAAGAAAGCCAAAACTTGGAAAAACAGGAGGACAAGCAAGAACCCAGGCGACACTGGAAGGAGAACAAAAAAAATACCCAACAAAATAAAACATGAAAAATATTATCAAAGAAACAATAATGTAAGAACATTAACAAGAAAATTACAAACAAAAACAAAACCCGAGACTAAAAGAACCAAGCTGTTCAGACAGCAAGGACCCACCAAGACGAACAAACAGAAAGACCCCTGGTCAACAGGGAAATCAGGAAATCTCACACCAAGAAGAATGTGAGGCTTCTGCCAGACAGAAACCACCACAGAGCATCAGCGGCCAGCGAACCGGCCATCTTTTGAGAACAGCACTGAAAACAGAGCTTTCACGGTTCTGAACACACACAGACTTTCTCCTTCCTTCCTTCTCTTTCTGTCTCTCTCTCTCTTTTTTTTTTCAGATGAATTCTCACTCTCGCCCAGGCTGGAGAGCAGCGGCGCCATCTGGGCCCACTGCAACCTCCGCCTCCAGGGTTCAAGTGATTCTCCAGCCTCACCCTCCCGAGTAGCTGGGATTACGGGCCTGCAACACCACACCTGGCTAATGTTTGCATTTTTATAGCGATGGGGTTTCTCGAAGCTGGCCAGTCTGGTCTTGAACTCCAAAGTCAGGTGATCCGCCCACCTCAGCCTCCCAAAGTGCTGGAGTTACAGGCGTGAGCCACTGTGCCCGGCCTACAAATACAGATTTTCAATCTGGATTTTTATACCCCACCAAATTCCTAACTATGTGGGTAAATAAACTCATTTTCAGACAATCAAGGACCACCCCCCCGCCAACAAAACAATCATCTACTTCTTCAAAAGCTACCAGAAGCTCTCCTCTGACAGCATGGAGAGGAAGGGATGGCCACACTGGAAACATCGAGGCAGGCCCCGGGCAGCAAGGACCGGACGCTCTGGGATAACAGCCCCACCTCTAGGGCAGAGCACAACCAGTCCCACCTGGAGGAGGGGATACGCGGGTCTTGGGGGGAAGTGGTTAGGGAGAGATGGATTTATTTAAACCTGTGCGAAATACAACTGACAGGTGTGTGAGACGTTGGAGCTCTGTGAGGAACAAAGCAAACAGGTAAAAGAAAACCAGGCTACGAGAGGCTGCGGCGGGAGAACTGCCTGAACCCAGGAGGCAGAGGCTGCAGAGAGCCGAGATCGAGCCCCTGCACTGCAGCCTGGCAACGGGGCAAGGCTCTGTCTCAAAAAGAAAAAGAAAAGAAAACCAGGCTAATGGTGAAAAACAACTTAATTAGCTTTAAGGGAAGAAAGAGCGATAAAAGAAAAGCCCAACTGAACATATTACTTGCTTTAGCAACCAACAAAGACCTACTCCCGCGGAAAACATAAGCCCACTGAGGATGTGGAAGGTGAAGGTGCAGGGGGTGGCTGGGAGGGAGGTAGTCTCAACCACCCTGACATGAAACCAGCAGATCAATCCAGGAAGAAGCGTGTTATTTACGAAGGTAAAGACCAGGGGACAGCCGGACCAACATGGCAAAACCCCCCATCTCTACAAAACAATACAAAAATTAGCTGAGCCGGGCGTGGTGGCTCACGCCTGTAA